AACACAGCCAGCTGTAATCTGGCTCTGCCCTGTAACACAGCCAGCTGTAATCTGACTCTGTCCTGTAACACAGCCAGCTGTAATCTGGCTCTGTCCTGTAACACAACCAACTGTAATCTGGATCTGTCCCGTAACACAACCAACTGTAATCTGGCTCTGTCCTGTAACACAGCCAGCTGTAATCTGTCTCTGTCCTGTAACACAGCCAGCTGTAATCTGACTCTGTCCTGTAACACAGCCAGCTGTAATCTGGCTCTGTCCTGTCCACACCTGTGTACAGGTCCACACCTGTCCACACCTGTCCACAAGTTCATACCTGTCCACAAGTCCAAACCTGTCCACACCTGTCTACGGGTCCACACCTGTCCACACCTGTCCACAAGTCCACACATATCCACACTCAGTCCACACCTGTCCACAAGTCCACACCTGTCCACACTCAGTCCACACCTGTTCACAGGTCCACACCTGTCCAGAAGTCCACACCTTTCCACACCTGTCCACAAGTCCACACCTGTCCACACCTTTCCACAGGTCCACACCTGTCCACAAGTCAATACCTGTCCACAAGTCCAAACCTGTCCACACCTGTCCACAAGTCCACACCTGTCCACAGGTCCACACTCAGTCCACACCTGTTCACAGGTCCAAACCTGTCCACAAGTGCACACCTGTCTACACTCAGTCCACACCTGTCCAAACCTGTCCACACCTGTGTACAGGTCCAAACCTGTCCACACCTGTCCACAAGTCCACACCTTTCCACAGGTCCATACGTATCCACAAGTCCATACCTGTCCACAAGTCCAAACCTGTCCACACCTGTCTATGGGTCCACACCTGTCCACACCTGTCCACACTCAGTCCACACCTGTTCACAGGACCACACGTGTCCACACTCAGTCCACACCTGTTCACAGGTCCAAACCTGTCCACAACTGTCCACAATCAGTCCACACCTGTCCACAGGTCCACACCTGTTCACAGATCCAAACCTGTCCACACTCAGTCCACACCTGTCCACAAGTCCACACCTGTTCATAGATCCAAACCTGTCCACACTCAGTCCACACCTGTCCACAAGTCCACACCTTTCCACACTCAGTCCACACCTGTCCACAAGTCCACACCTGTCCACACTCAGTCCACACTTGTCCACAAGTCCACACCTGTCCACACTCAGTCCACAACTGTCCACAAGTCCACACCTGTCCACACCTGTCCACAAGTCCATACCTGTCCACAAGTCCAAACCTGTACACACCTGTCTACAGGTCCACACCTATACACACCTGTCTAGAGGTCCACACCTGTCCACACCTGTCCACAAGTCCACACCTTTCCACACTCAGTCCACACCTGTTCACAGGTCCACACCTGTCCACACTCAGTCCACATCTGTTCACAGGTCCAAACCTGTCCACACCTGTCCACAAGTCCACACCTGTTCACAGGTCCAAACCTGTCCACACCTATCCACACTCAGTCCACATCTGTCCAAGTCCACACCTGTCCATACTCAGTACACATGTCCACAAGTCCACACCTGTTCACAGGTCCAAACCTGTCCACACCTGTCCACACTCAGTCCACACCTGTTCACAGGTCCAAACCTGTCCACACCTGTCCACACTCAGTCCACACCTGTCCAAGTCCACACCTGTCCATACTCAGTCCACACCTGTCCACAAGTCCACACCTGTTCACAGGTCCAAACCTGTCCACACCTGTCCACACTCAGTCCACACCTGTTCACAGGTCCACACCTGTCCACACCTGTCCAGAAGTCCACATCTGTCCACACCTGTCTACAGGTCCACACCTGTCCACAAGTCCAAACCTGTCCACAAGTCCACACCTATCCACACTCAGTCCACACCTGTTCACAGGTCCACACCTGTCCACAAGTCCAAACCTGTCCACAAGTCCACACCTA